AGAAGGAAGGGCTGCTTATGCACAGGGAGACAGCTCAGGGCGCAGGAGAGTATGGAGGGATGGTCACTGGGAAGAGGTAACTATGGGGAGGAAGTGGGAAGGGAGCTGTTGCATTGTAAACTGTGGTCAATGACATGAGACAGAGTATATGTGAACTGCTGTATGGAAAGTGACTTCACTCTGTAAATCTTCACCCAAATCACAATAAATAAAATAAAATAAAATAAATGTCATCTGGTCTGATCTTCAGGAAACAATCCTTTCCACCATGTATCAAGTGAAAGTTTATCCTTATCCCTGGATTGATGGTCCACAATGTATCATACTGTGGTCACCCTTCATTCCAGCTGTAAGACCCATGTGGCCCTCCTGGCTTGTTCTCTTTTTCCATTTCTCTCGAAACTTCCATAGTCTTCTCAGAGCACAGAAATGCAGCTGTTCTGCATTCCCTGGGGTGGGTAGGACCCTGAGGCTGGCTTTCTACCCAAATGTCTGCCACAGCAACCACTACTCTCCTACTCACTGTCATGCTAGATGCCTTCTCTCTGAGGCTGAAGGTCTTTCTCCAGCTACAATCTGAGGCAGAAGCCCCAGCCACACACATCCTATAACCCACTAGATTTGATTTCAAGAGTTGGGCAGAGTGCCCAACTACTCAACGATCCCAGTATCATTGACCCCTCTCATCTGGTCTGTATATTCTCTATCCAAACAAAAGCCCTGATTTTCAAAACTATTGGCCTCTGTTTTGAGTTTAAAAGTCTATTCCTAAAACTCCAAATATGAGAAGTTATATTTCTTTTTCTTTGTCTTCCTGCTATAAGGACATGTTTGTGAAGCAATGGCTGCCTCCTACACAGGTATTTCTGCAGAAGAGTGTGCCATATATGGTCTGTTGGTACTCAGCAACTCTTTAGGGTCTTTCATTAAATCTAAAATGGGTAAGTTGAAGCAGAGAACTCACCAAGTTATAAAACAAATAGCATATATATATATATAAAACTAATCTTTGTATAAGCTATGAAATAACAACTTGCACTTCAGGCTAAAGTTTATAGAATATTTTCCTTGCACAGAAGGTAAAATATTATTTAAATGTACATGACAGGCAGCATCTAATTGAAATATAAATTATTTTCTTCGGACTTCAGTGAAGGTTTCTTTAATAAGTATGAGAGAACTTATCTGATGACTTAAATGTCACATTAGCATTTTATAAAATTCAAAGAAAAACAAAAATGTGGCTCAGCATACGCTATGAATTCTTTGCCAAAAAGCATAGCCTACCAACTGTTTTCTTTACTTTACTATCTGCCTGGGTGCACTAGGGGAACAGGGTGATACCACAAGCCTGCCACCAGCCTGACTTGGGTAGCCTGAATGAGGAATATTTTGGGGCATTGCACAGTCAAAGACCAGGAGGAAAACATTACCGTATTTCTTCCTCCCGAGGCATCTATCCACCGTCCTCTCTGATAGAGACCTCCTGTTGCCAAGGAAGACCCCATTAAAGAAGCACTGCTTTCCAACATGGTAGGTGTGAATATTACTGCTAAACCTTGGGTAAAATGTCCACTCAGGATGCTGCCCATCTTCTGCAAGACATCAGAAATCCTTCCATTAGCACTGTTCCCAGTCTCATAATACAATGAGATGACAAAATATTGTGAAAATTCCCCAGATACTATCTGGTCCTACAACATTTGTCAATTTGTATAATTCCTTGCTTCTCCATCGGGGGCAGTGGGAACCTCTGTGGGACTAGGCATAAAAGGTTGTGATCAGGGAAATGAGGGAAAAGGCCATTTAGGAGGCCTCATGTTTTTCTTTTTCACTCTCTTCTCCAAAAATAAAGCCAATTTTATGATTGAAAGTTGAGTATTGGTTGGGAAGTTCAGAGACAGTTTTATAAGCACCTATGATTCAACTTTCACTCTGACAATTGTAAAGATACCCATTAACCAAGGAATGGCTGGGCCAACCATGGTATTTAACTCGATGGAACAAGGTGTTGGTGGCAACAGTAGCACACACATGTACTACGATGACACAGGGAAATGTGTATATGCAATAATGTCAAATGAGAAAAGCAGCTGTGAAACTTCATCTAAGTTACTAGACCTCACAGTGTCTCTGTTTCCTCATTAGATAGTTCTAGTATAAAATTGCTGGAGGTGATTTCAAATGATAAAAAAAAAATCCCCCAATAGCCCTAGAGCTGCTTGAGAAATACTCAGGGTCTTTGGATTGGGTTTCCAATCCTATCATTCAACTTCATAGATATATGTGTTTGTAGGGGTGAACCCCTCCAAGTCTTGGTTTCCATCTCTGTAAAATAGGTTCATCTATTTTATCCACATAATTAGATATCCACAGAAAGAGGTTCCTAATCTATTTACTATTGAGTAAAACTAGCTTGTATAGTACAACACATTTATTATATATATATATATATATATATATATATATATATAGTGAGTGTGAGTGTGTATATACATACAGATACACACATATACACTTCAAAATTCGGAATCATATATTTCAAACTCTTCAAAGTTATGGGGCAGGATAGTGATATTGTTGGAGAAATTATAGGGGAAAGGATTTCTACATTCTACTTTGTATACTTATTCATTATCTTAACATTTTGCTACAATACTCACGGTTTCTATATAAAGGCAGTTCATTTTTGAAAAACATATAATGACCCTGAATAGTTAAATATTATTGAAGAATAATAACAAAGTAGGAGCCCTCACAGTTTCCTTATCTCAGAACTTACTATATAGCCACAATAGTTAAAAAAGCCTGGTACTGGTAAAATGTCAATGACATAGACCAATGGAACAGAACTGAGAACTAAGTAAATCCATTCACCTATGGGCAGCTGATCTTCAACAAAGGTCAAAGTCCATTCAATGGAGAAGAGATAATCTACTTAATAAATGATGCTGGCAAACTGGATATCCATTTGCAGAAAAATATATAATAAGATCCATACCTCACACCATACAGAAAAACTAACTCAAAATGGATCAAAGACTTAAATATTAAACCTAAATGTTTCCTAGAAGATAACACAGGGAGAAAGCTAGAGGTCCTAATCAAAGGCATAAATGTACTATCAAAAATAACTAAAAATTCACAAACAACTGAAAATAGACTAGATAACTGGGACTTCCTAAATATCAAATACTTATTATCATCCAAAGAAGCTCTAGTGGTATAGTGGTTAAAGCATTCGGCTGGTAACCAAAAGTTCTGCAGTTCAAACCCACCAGCTGCTCTGCAGGAGAAAGATGAGGTAGTCTGTTTCTGTAAAGATTTACAGCTTTGGCAACCCTATGGAGCAGTTCTACTCTGTCCTATAGGGTCACTAAGTATCAGAATCAACTTGATGGCAGTGAGTTTTTTCACTTTGGTCTTATCAAAAGACTTTACCTGAAGATTAAAAAGAGAACCTACAGATGGGGAAAAAAATTCCAACTCATAGCAACCCCCTTCAGTTTTCCAAGGTGGTAAGTCTTTATGGAAGTAGATTGCCCAGTCTTCCTTCCATGGAGTGGCTGGTGGGTTTGAACCACCAACCTTCTGGTTAGCAGTCAATGCCTTAGGCATTATGCCACCAGACTAGATAACAGACACATGTTAGTCTTAGGGAAAGAAAAAGCAATACACAATACAGGGGAAGTCAGCACAGCATGACCAAGGTAATTGAAGACACTGAGAGGTATGCAAGAATAAAGGACAACTATAGAAAATGCTACAAAGAGCTCAGGTGGTGTAGTGGTAAGGCATTTGGCTGTTAACCAGAAGGTAAATGATTCAAACTCACCAGCTACTCCATGGGAGGAAGATGAGACAATCTAATTCCGTAAAGATTTACAGCATTGGAAACCCAATGGGGGTCACTATGAGTCAGAATCAACTCAATGGCAGTGCGTTTGGGGTTTTGTTTGTTTGTTTATGGTAAATGCTGTAACATATACAATTCTGCAACCACCATAATAGCAACCAAAAATCTGAGTGGTTACATAGGTAGAAATGTATGCTATATAGGTGTGGGAGGGTGTAGGAGAGTACATGCATGTGCATATATAGGTATAGTTGTGGGCATTTGTATATACATATTTGTGTATGCTGCATTTATAGTCACATATGTTATATAATAGAGCACTTAAGGAGCACAGTTATGGAAACTTCTTAGACATATCCAAACACCTCATGGGACTGTGTTACTTACTGGGCTTGAAGGCTAAGGATTATAGTCACAGGGGAGGGACATCTAGGTCAATTGGCAAAACACAATTCATGATGTTCCACATCCTAGTTTGGTGAGTAGCATCTGGACTCTTAAAAGCTTGTGAGCAGCCATCTAAGATACAGCTAATAGTCTCTTCCCATCTGGAGCAAGGGAGAGTGAAGGAAACCGAGATTGCAACGAAGCAATTAATCCACAGGACTAATGCCCCACATGAACCACAGCCTCATCTAACCTGAGACTAGAACAACTATATGGTACCCAGCTATTGCTACCAACTGCTCTGACCCAGGGACACAAAGAAGGTACCAGTTACAGTGGTTTAAAATGTAGAACAAAACTCAAATTCATAAAATAAATAAATAAATAATTAAGACCAGACTTACAGGACTGATAGAGATTGGAGGAACTCCTGAGACTATCACCCTAAAACACTGAACTGAAACCATTACTGGAGGTTACCTTTCAGCCAAATAATAGATTGGCCTATAAAATAAACAATAACAACTATGAGAAGTGTGCTCTTTACAACAATCAACCATACCATACCAAACAGACACAAAGGCAAAGATGAGAAGGCAAGGAGGGACAGGGAAACTTGAGGCAGGGTAGAAATGGCGAGAGTGCTTACACATTGCAGGGATAGCAACCAATGTCATTGAGCAAATTGAATATACATTTTTGAATGGGAAACTAATTTGCTGTACAAACTTTCACAATAAAAAGTTTAAAAAAACACATAAAATGATAGCTCCCCAGAAGGGTTGTTATGAAAATACAGATGAAGCAAGTCAAATCCCTGGCACTTAGTGGATCTTTAATAAATGATGTACAACAATATGGCTGGCTTCTGAAAAGACCGTTGGCACTGAGGCCTGCGGAGCTGGAGTCTATGACTTACTTGTCTGCAACTTGAGCATGCTGAAGTCCTCAGGGTATTTATCCATTTGGATTTCAGGCAATGGGGTTTCAGAGGAGTGATCAGAATGTGAAGAGGAGGAGGAGGATTTCCGCTCCAAACCTGCAGCTGTGCTGGGAAGAAAGAAGGGTTTGATTTTTCTATGTGCTTAAGTTGGTAGTTAGAATCTGCTCTTACATATCTCACACTAGAATTGCCCTCATTTATGAGAACTGGGCCTATTGTTGTTGTTGTTCGGTGCCGTCGAGTCAGCTCCAACTCATAGCGACACCATGTACAAAAGAACGAAACATTGCCTGGTCCTGTGCCAACCTCACAATCCTTGCCATACCAGAGCCAATCATTGCAACCACTGTGTCAATCCATCTTGTTGAGAGTCTTCCCCTTTTTCACTGACCCGCCACTTTACCAAACATGATATCCTTCTCCACAGAATGGCCCCTTCTCACAACATGACCAGAGTAGGTGAGACAAAGTCCAACCATTCTCACTTCCAAGGAGCGTTCTTCCAGGACAGATTTGTTCATTCTTCTGGCAGTCTGTGGTACTTTCTGTATTCTTTGCCAACACTACAACTCAAAAGCATAAACTCTTCCTCAGTCTTCCTTATTCATTGTCCAGGTTTCACATGCATATAAGGCAATGGAAAACACCATGGCTTGGGTTAGGTGCACCTTAGTCTTCAAGGAGACATCTTTGCTCTTCAGCACTTTAAAGAAATCTTTTGCAGCAGATTTGCCCAGTGCAATATGCCATCTGATTTCTTGACTGCTGCTGCCATTGGTGTTGATGGTGGAATCAAGAACTGGGCCTACTCCTCTATAAAAGTTCATGTGCATACAATTTATTTATTAACTATTTGAGGAGGCTGAAACATACTAAAAAGATATATGCTTGTCAGCTAACTAACAATTGGGTCATAAAATAAATATCATCATGAGTACTGTGCTCTTTAAAAAATCATTTATATGGAATCAAACAGTCAACATTTACTCTAAAGCAAAGACAAGAAGGTAAAGTGGGGCAGGGAAACTAGACAAATGGAAACAGAATATCCAGAACAGAAATACTGAGAATGTTGACACATTGTGAAAAATGAAACCAATGTCACTGAACAATTTGTGCAGAAATGGTTAAATGGGTATCTAATTTGTTATGTAAACTTTCACCAAAAACACAATAAAATATTATTTTTTCAAAAAAGTGTATATTCAATAAAGCCATTAAATGAACATAAAACATCAATGATCTAAAGAGAAAAAGGAAGAAATAATTAGAAATAACCTAGACTGAAATGGTTACAATAGCTGAGGGTTATGTTTAGTGTTGAACTTCCTAAGAAAAAACAAAACAAAACAAAAACTCACTGCCATCAAGTCACATCCAACTCGTAACAACCCTCTTGGGTTTCTGAGGCAGTATCACTATGGAAATAGATTGCCCAACCTTCCTTCCAAGGAGTGACCAGTGGGTTTGAACTGACAAAAAACTGTTGTGGATGTGGGGAAAAAGCAATCATTTCTGGTTTAAAATGCTTTGTGGTTTTGGACAATGTTTTCAGGGATAGTTATCCATAATCAAAACATAATATCTTTTTATATTTTTTAATATTGCATCACTCATATTTGAAAAGTTTCCAAGTAACTTACTTCTTATCTTGTTTGCTACCCACAAATATTCTTGTGATGTAGGTTGTTGTTAGGTGTCAAGTCAACTCCAACTCATAGGGACCCTATGTACCACAGAATGAAACACTGCCCAGTCCTGCACCATCCTCACAATCTTTGCTGTGCCACAGCCCATGGCTGCAGCCACTGAGTCAATCCATTGAGGATCTGCCCCTTCTTCGTTGACCCCCTACTTTACCAAGCATGATGTCTTTCCCCAGGGAATGGCCCTTTCTGATTACATGACCTAAATAGGTGAGATGAAGTCTGGCCATTCTCACTTCCAAGGAGCATTCCAGCTGCACTTCCTCCAGGACAGATTTGTTTGTTCTCCTGGCAGTCCATGGTATTTTTGATGTATGTAAGACTGATATAATCATTTCCATTTGAAAAGGAAATAGGCCCTCAGAGAAGCTGACTTTCTATTATAAAACACACAACACCTAGGTAGGGTCAGAGCTGGATCTGCCGCCCAGATCACCTCACTCTAGAATAAATGGTCTAAAATCATAAAGAACCTGAGTTCGGTAACTGACGAGTTCTGTATAGCTTGATCTCTAATTTTAAATAAATACACATATACATCCTTGAAACTTGAACATTAGTAGTTTGTAGATAAAGCAAAAACGTAATAACTTAGAGAACCCTCCTGTCTTACCTATCTAGTGCTGCCACAACAGAAATACAAGTGGATGACTTTAACAAACAGAAATTTACTCTCTCACAGTTTAAGAGACTAGAAGTTCGAATTCAGGGCACTAGCCCTAGGATAAGGCTTTCTCTCTCTGTTAGCTCTGAGGAAAGGTCCTTGTCTCCTTTCAACATCTGTGGGCTCAGAGTTCCTTGGCGATCTCCAGGTGTCTTGGCATCAGTCTTCCCCTGGTCTAGGAGGTTCTCAGTGCAGGGACCTTGGGTCTAAAGTATGCACTCTCTCCCAGCTTTTCTTTCCTAGTTGTAGTCAAATCCCTTCTCTCTTCTTTTATCTCTTGTAAGATAAAAACTGTGATTCAAGCAAGGGTGTGACTTGAGTAAGGCCCTTCTCTAAGGCTATGTATGATTCAAGATACAATCCATCCTAATCCTGCCTCGTTAACATATAGAGGTTAAGCTTTACAACACCTATCATAAAATGGAGGATAATTACATTAAATGGAGGGTAATTATGTCAGATCACAAAATGGAGAACCACCACATCATACTGGGAATCATGGCCTTGCCAAGTTGACACATATTTTGGTGGACATAATTCAATCCATGACGCCCTCCAATTCAGAACTGCAAAAAGGGCATGGGGCAGCATCCTCTGACCTCCTCTAACTTAATGAGGGGGAAACAGAATCACCATCAACAGCATCAGCATAGGCTGATTCCTATGAGGTCAGACATACTACCACTCTCCAACCATTTTACCAGTTCTGACACCAATCATCCCTCCCACAGCACTCTCTACCCCTCTGCTCAATAATTTGTTGCAATGGCCACACAGAACTCATAAACAATTCTCATGATTATGGGGTTTATTAGGGAAGTGACAGGTTACAATTCAAGCTCAGGAACATTCAGCTCAGGATATAATTCTTTGATCAGGACAATCCTCCCTCAACCATGCCCATAGGTACCCCTTCCTTAGGCATTCAGCCTCTAGACCTGGTCTCTGTCCTGCTTGGACAAGTGTCAAAAAAAAAACCAACTTTTAGCTCTACCAATAAGTGCACCTACTCCTCCAGCAAGCCTCCTGCCCAAAGACACTCAGCTTTCTCACTCCATGGGCTGGCAAGCCTGCCACTCTGTCTCATGCTGGTCTCCTGGTTCTGCTGCCACTGCTGCTGCCACCATCTCTCTTTCATCTCTCTGCCATCTCCCTGCCAAGGAGATCTAGCATGGGGATCTCAGGTCCATGAACACACTCCACTGCTGCTGCTTCTTCTGCCTTGATGGTGTAAGAGTCACTTCTAGAGTGGCTCATTTTAAGCCTAGCAGAGTGGCAAAACTGACCAAACCCCATGTTAGAGTTCCATACACCTTATTTCTATGGACCACGGTTAGAAGAGCCATAGTAAGTCATTCACTGCACCACAAGAGCACATGATAATTTTTACATTTGGGTAAAATATTTCTCTCCTAAATATGAAAAAATTTTTAAAAAAAGGCTTTTTTAAACAAATTATATAGAAAGATAGGAAGGACAAAAGAAATTTTCCAGAGAACTTTAGAAGTATCTACCTACTTTGTTTATTCTTTTAAGTTTTACCACCTATATATGTATTCCAAAATAATATATCTTTATTTCTCCTGCTTTTAAACTTTATAATAGCAAGTACTTATACAGCACTTGTATGCCAGGCAATCTTCTAATCACTTTCCATGTAGTATGTACTCTAATATCCCCATTTTACAGATTAGAAAACTGAGACCCAGAGATCACCGATAGTTAAGTGGCAGAACTGGGATTTGAACCCAGACATTCTGGGTCCACAATCCATGCTCTTGTCAAAGATGTCATGCTACCTCTCAGACTATTCAACTCTTGGTCAAATTTACCACAACAGTTACAGCTCTTCACCAGACCCTTACTTACTCTAATTGGGCAGACACTCTGTGGAGGGCTGGAAACTCACTGATACTTAGACTTGTTTCAACAAAAGGCAAAGTGGTGGTCCTCTTGCTAGAGGATGTTGTGCTGGCAAAGTTTCCAGTAGATCCCATAAAATCATCGTGTTTAGTATCTGCAACATATAGATATCACTGTTTGATTATATTATTGAAAATAGCTTCCATTTTATCATGTTCCCTGAGTGGTAAACTTTTTTTTTTTAAAAGAATCATCTAACACTTCTTGAGGACTTCCTATGTAGTGGGGATTATGCTAACACCTGACAAACTTTATCTGTCATCCCCATAACAACCCACCAAAATCATAAAAGCAAACCCACTGCCATTGAATTGATTCTAACTCATAGAGACCCTCCCTTTCCTTTTACAGAAGTAGATTGTCTTATCTTCCTCCTGTGGAGCAGGAGTTTGAACCGCTGACCTCCTGGTTAACAGCCAAATGCCTTATCCACTATGCCACCAGAGCCCTTTACAACAACCCACAGACACAGGAATTATTTATCCTCCATTTTAAGAAGTCCTGGTAGCACAGGCTCAGAAGGTTAACACCTAAGCCAAGATTTGATCATATTTCCTGTAACACTAAAATCTAAAATCCTAACCACTGTTCTAGACTGCTTGCCCCTCCAACACAGTTCATCTACTCTGAACTAAGTGGAAGAGAGAAAATCTGGATTGAGGTATAAATCACTGTATATTGTGCTAAGAATCTAGATTCCAAACAAATCTAGATTGGCCCATTTTCCAAAGGATTTGTTCATAGAAAGACTCTTGAATATACTTGGTGATAATGATCCAAAGAACTGCCTTCAGAAATGTCCATGGATTCCTTCTCACTGTGGTATTGTTATTCACTTAAATGCACATCTTCTCCACCAGACTTTATCTTATTCATCTTGTATTTGTGCCAGAACAGTGTCTGGGTACAAAGTAGATGCTCAGTAAATGTTTGTGTGAATAAATGAAAAAGAATTATAATTCCCCAACCACCTACAATTTTGTATAAGGAAGCCTTGAAACCCAGTGACTGTCAGATAGACAAATGTCCTCATTATCTTCATTCTGCTTTATAATTACTACCTGGTTACAGTCTATCTCTTCTCTCATCATTTTATATAGGTATGTGCCTTGTCCAGCACCCTAAAAAAAGTGAGATGTATTTCCTTGTGCATAACTTCACTGAGCATAGAAGCTCAATGGGCACATGCTAATGGACATGTTGATCTGGTTAGAAGAATATTACACCTACAAAGTATCGTATTTCATGTGTACATGGTATACACAATGTGCCTACTGTGAATTCACACCATGTGTCAGTGGGATGGCTACCTAAGACACTTTTTATCATTTCTTCTTGACTCATTTACAAAGCAAGAGGGTCACATTTTTTCACTCTTGTCAAGTCCTAACCCTATTACCAAACCCTTCACTTCCTGAGAGGCCTTTGCCTCCAAGTCTACAAAGTTTAAAGGTCAGCTGAGCTACTCACCATCCCCCCATTCCAGAACTCCTGCGGGGTAGGATAAAGACTATCTGCATCAGAAACACCAAGAGGCCAGTTGAAAGCACAGATACACAATTCCCGTTGAAAACTCATTGAACTAGATGAGGCCTGGGAACCTACATTTTTAATAAGTCCTTTTCCCCAGTCACTGGGGAGGGCTCACACTCTCCATCATCTTCCACTTCAAGTCTAACCATCATCACCAAACTGCATTCTATTCTACCCTATCTCCTGATTCTTGACTCATGGAATTTCTTGAATTTGCATGGTATTATGAATTTAATTGTGTCCCCTCAAAAGAAATGTGGAACTCCTAATCCCTGTACTTGTAAATGCAATCCTATTTGGAAACAGAGGTTCTCTTTTACTATTTTAATAAGGCCATACCAGAGTAGAGTGAGACCCAAACTTAATCCCTTCTGAGTGCTGTCTTATAAAAAGAGTAGAACAGACACAGAATAGACACACAGAGGGGTAAGACAGACACCAAGGAACACCCAGGACTACTGACAAGGAAGGATCTCTCTCCCTCAAAGTTGTTGCCCTGATTTGGACTTCTACCCTCCAAAACTGTGAGAAAACAAATTTCTATTATTTAAAGCCAACCACTCATAGCATTTTTTGTTAAGGTAGGACTAAGTAACCAAGACACCAAGTCAGGAGAATCACTTTGGAGTATTTATTCAATCTACAGAGGACAGAGCTCTGACCTAGACATACAGGGGAGAGATATACAAGTCAGTAAATTTAAGAAGCCCCTCAGGTGATTCTTAGAGTTAACCAAGTGTGGGAAATACTATTCTGGTATATGCCCCAGAGCCTGGAGCAGCCCCTGGCACAGTGAAGTTCAACTAGTTGCTTGAAGTATGGCTAGAAAAGAAAAAAAAAAAAAAAAAATCACTAACAAGTTGACTCTTACATGGTGATCCCAGGTGCGTCAGAGTAGAACTGTGCCCCGTAAGGTTTTCAGTGGCTGATTTTTCAGAAGTAGGTCACCAGGCCTTTCTTCCAAGGCACCTCTAGATGGACTCAAACCTCCAACCTTTCAGTTAGCAGCTGAATGAGCTAAAGGGTTGCATCACCCAGGGACTCTAAAGTGTGGATGGTTGGGATGAATTGGAGCTTAGTGGAGAGGGCAGGAAATGAGCAGAGCTGTGTGGAGGAGCGGACAAGTCCCCAACCAAAGGAGGAACCACCCATTCACTAAGCCACGAAAGAAGTATCAATGAACATAATATAGACTACATTCTCTGACCACAGTGCTACAGCGTTAGAAACCAATAATAAAAAGACAGCCAAAAAAAATCCATAAGTTTGGAAACTCAAACCACATGTCTAAATAATTCATAAAAAAGAAAAACTCAAAACAGAAAGTATAGCTGCTTAATGATCGATGACGTAAGTACTATATATCAAAACTTGTGGGCCTCAGCTAACAGAGTGATTAGAAATTTAGAGCCATAACATACATATACTGTATTTCATTGAATATGTGATGTCATCAATTGTAATAATATTATTCTTTTATATACCACAAAGAATAAAGGCTTTATCACTTAGAATTTGTATTTTATACTTATTGAATAAATCTTTTAGATTTATTTAAGTATACATTTAAATATTGCTATGGATTGAATTATGTCCCCCCAAAATATGTGTTGGAATCCTAACCCTTATACTTATGGATATAAGGTAATATAATTACCTTACATCTAATGTAATCACCTTCTGTTATGTAATCTAATGGAATGGAATCAAAAAATCAGTTGAGATTACACCAAAAAACCAAACTCATTGCCATTGAGTCAGATCCAACTCATAGTAACCCCTACCTAGATTTCCGAGGCAGTATCTCTACAGAAGTAGATTGCCCAACCTTCCTTCCTAGGAGTGGCTGGTGAGTTTGAACCTCCAGCCTTCTGGTTAGTAGTCAAATGCCTTAGGCACTATGCTACCAGAGCTCCCTAGATTATACCAGTGTAGAAGAATCCTAAATCTAAGACACATGTGTGCAAACGAGGAAGATAGATGCCATGTAAGGAATGTCTGTCTGCAAACTGAGGAACCAAGTATCACCCAGAGCCACTGATAAGAAAGGAACCCACGTGGTCTAGATTCTGCTTTGGAGCTTTAGCCTCCTAAACTGTGAGAAAATAAATTCCTATTCTTTAAAGCCACCCATTTGTGTTATTTATGATACAGTAGCACTAGATAACTAAGACAATCATATATCACTCATGTACTTCTTTCACAAAGAAGGAAAATATAAGCAAAATAAATTTGTTAAGATGTTCTTCAACTTTATTCATATTCATAAGTCTGACTATGGGATCACTTTTCAACTCAGTCATTAATTTCTACATTTTCCAATTAATATTAACTCAGTCCAACAAGAAGATGGATGATACAGCATTTCTTAAAAGAGTGTGTCTCTGATATTTTTTTACCTAGCCACCAATACCCATTCTGAAAGCATCAATGCTCAGACAGCAGAGATTATGACAACTACTTCACACCTGCCACCGAGCTCACAGAACTAGTACGATCAATCTCCCCTTTACAGATGCACGCTGTAGAAAATGTACGTCTTAGAATCAATGGAATACAGTGGTGTTCACAAACAAAGATTCCAAAATCAATAAGCTAAGTTTTCAATTCAAGAAATGGGTTGGGCAGGAAAAGACATCACCCAAAAGGAAAACTACAGACCAATATCCCTCATGAATATAGATGCAAAAATCTTCAACAAAATCCTAGCCAATAGACTCCAACA